ACTGTTTATAGCTAAGCCTTTACTTTTTTTCTTTGTTAAAAAGTAAAGGAAAGCCTCAGCCCTGCGGTGTGAAATTTAAAAATTTTGAAAACCTGACACAGAAGTTGGAGCAACAACCATTTAAAAGTTTGGAGCAAAATTTTTAATAATTTTCCATGGTGAAGTCTTAAATTTATCTTTGAAGAAGCTCCCCACAAAGATAAATCCATTTCCTACTAGTGCCCTTGTAGGAGCTAGAAAGTCACTAACATCACAACATTTTCATCGAAGTCTCAGGACTAGGACCCAGGACTGGGTGGCTTGAGGTGGAGGGAAAGGGAAAGGAGGACGATCTCTTGGCTCGGTGTACACGTGGAGTACATGCAGCTGCAAACCAGTGCTGCTTTTTGAGGAGCCAACATTTGTAGGAAATCCAGAGTAAGATGTCACAGGAGGGGGTGGGAATGAGCACCTTGCTTTGGAGGGGCACTGTGCCCAGGAACCAGCATGGGCTTGGTCCAACTGAACAGACTCCACGCTGGCTGGATATGCCACAACCCAGCTGGTGCTACAGGTAGCCATTCCAGGGTGAGTCTCCTGATGGGACCCACTGGACAAAACTATTCCCCTGTGGCTATGGTGGGGGTGCAGGGTGGTTCCTCTGACGTGGACATTCCACTGTGGCAATCATTCCAGGAAGGGGTTGCTCCCGGCCAAGACAGGAAGACTTCTGTGATGAGGAAACTTTTTTCTCTTAGAATCTAGGGTTGGGTGACAGGTGCAGGGCGCAGCAATGCCTAGGGCATCCTCGTGTAGAAGAATAAGTTGGCCCCAGGCTCGTGGAGGCAGGCTGACAGCTAAGCAGAGGGGCAGTCCTCTTAAGGGACCCTGAGGCTCTTGGAAAAGCCCCCCCAGGGAGCAGCTTGATGTCATTGTTGATGTTTCACCTGCTTTTATCCCTCAACTTTTCATAAAACTTTGTCCCAAACAGCCTAGTCTCAGCTGTGCTATGAAGAGTTGAATTCTCATTCCCATTTTAGATTGGAGAAGCAAAGGGGGGCACTCCTCAGGATCACAGGGGTGGCAGCAGCCACAGGAGACACCGGGGAGGCGGCTGTGCCCAGGGGAGCACTTCTGGCCCAAGTGGTCAGTGGCAGAGTCTGCAGTGGAAGATATGCGACCTCCTCCTGAGCACAGCTGAGCCAGCATCCTGGGACGGTGCTCTGGGAGCCTCTGGAAGTGGGAGTGGAGGGGCTGTTCCTTTCCTATGCTGGTTGTAGCAGGCTCAAGTCATCGTGATTTGGGTATGAAAGGAAGTATGCCCTGAATTTACACTCGCTGGCTGGTGTGACCTGGAGAAGGGTTTTCCAGAGCCACAATTCTCAGGGATGTTCATTAGCCATTTCCCTCCTGGTTTGATGCAAACAGCTTTCAAACCTGAATGTTAACAGGACCCACAATGAGGGTTTTTTCCTATTTGTTAATTTGGTGAGAGCATTTCCTTTATGCAGAAGCACAGATGATCAGTCTTGGGTCTCAATTTTTGCTATGTCTCTATCTTTAGTTTATGCATCTCTGGGGCTCATTCAACTCTCCCCGCTTCCAACATGCATTGTCTGTTGGCCTAATTCATGAATAAACTAGACTGTTGAGCTGTTGGACTTACAAAGGCTTCTGAAATGTGAAAACGTCTCTTCCTGTGTATTTTCTTACTTCTGCTTTGCCCTCCTGACTGCGCTGGGTGGGGAGGCTGAGAACCACTGCAGGGTCGGTGGGGGAAGGACCGGGTGAGGTGGCACTGAGCTGCAGGGACGGGCAGAGCGGGGAGGAAACTACCGGAGGCAAGGCTGGAGGAGCACAGGGCAGAATCCATCCGCTTACCTCTTTCTTTCTTTAAAAAGAAAAAAGAAAAGAAAATACAAAGCAAAACCAGCAAAAATAAAATGTTTGCCTTTAAAATGTTTAAAAAAGCCCAAAGAATCAAGTTTTCTTGCTATCCAGATCTAACCGATGTTAACTGTTTGATTTTGATTCCAACTTAAAAAATACACACACACACACACACACACACACACACACATATATATATTTTAAAAAATTAAATTTGGATTGTAAACATCTTATTGTGTAATTTGTTTAATGCTCCTACTTTATACTATATTAGGAACATTTTCACATGTCCTTAAGTATGTTTCCAAAACAAGGTTTTCAATAGTTGTATAAAATTCTAGCTTCAGAGTATAACACACATTTAGATTGCTTATAATTTATCACTGTTACAAAAAAAAAAAATGCTACCATGAACATCCTTGCACCTAAATCTTTGAATATACCTCTGCTTACTTCTTTATGATAAATTCCAAGAAGCAGAATAATTAAATGGAAATATCAGAACATTTTCCAAACTGCCCCTCATCAAGTTTGCTTCAATTTATACAGTGACCAAAAATGTACAATTGAGCCCATGTTCCTACAACCTTGCCGACATGAGTGTTATTACTGTTCCCTTTTAGTCTGACAGTCGAAAGCATGAATCTGGCATCATTGGTCCCATCCCACTTTGTTTGTGTCCCTTGAATCTTTGACCATTTTATTGCTCCATGTCAAAGGTATGGGGAGTGGTTCTGCTCTCTAAGTCCTTTTAACTGTTGAGTGAAGAGAAAAATGTAGAAATTGCCAGATTTGTAGCTATAGCTACAAAAAACAGCTGGCTTACGTGAGTAGAATGCTGAAAGTTGTAAATTATTTCCTAGATTACATGCAAAACTGAAGTAGCACCCCAAACTGCCAGACTGCAAAAATCTTACCAGTTACTGTAAGAGCAGTTCATGTTTTCAAACATCCAATATTATACAACTAGAATATTTACACATGTATCACCTTTTCTTCTAAAACCTGGTTTACTGCATGAGTTTTGGATTTGCTGCCTAATTCAGATCAACCTTCCATATCTTCCTCCATACACAAAAGATTTAAATAGTATTTATCATCAAGTGGTTTACGAACCTTGTGAAATTGCATGCAAAATACAGTATAGATGTACAACTGAGAACATTTTTCTTAGGAGAGAGTCTAAGCTCTCATCATGTTCTCAAAGGAGCTTAAGAAAAGATTAAGAGTCTTTGATAAGGAAAAAATTCTAAAGGGTTATAACAGCAATGCTTACAGGAGCCAGAGGTTAATGTAAAAGAGTGAAGTGGATGAGGTATTAGATAATAGGGAGTAGTGGAGACTGTGGTATCCTCAAATGCATTCGCTTCAACTAAATAGAGTAGCTGTCTTTCAGCTCCAGACCACTGTTGGTGTGTAGGAAGGTAGGTTCAGTGTTTCCGGATCTTAATTTTTTTCAGAGACAACTAGAAATCTGGATACTTACATGAACTCTTCCAAACTTCATTTTATTATTATTATTATTGTTTTAATCCTCATCTAAGGATATTTTTTTTTGTTTTTTGTTTAACTGATTTAAGAGAGACAAAGAGAGAGAAAGAAACATCTATCTGTTGCCTCTGTATGTGCCCTGAGGAGGATTGAACCCGCAACCTAGTTATGTGCTCTGACTGGGAATCGAACTCACAACCTTTTGGTGTACAGTACAATGCTCCAACCAACTGAGCCTCCTGGACAGGGTGAAATCTTCCAAATTTTAAATGCTCACAATAATTTCAAATTAAATAAACAAACATTGTATGGTACCAACAAATGGTCTGCTGATTTGGCCCTCAGGCTGAAGGGCCTAAGGGAAGCCAGGCATTTAAAAACATTTCAAATTCATAAATAAAAATAATTAATTGTTCTCTTTAGCTTTGTAATAAGCCAACACCACCAAGACAATGTAAGAACAAGGCTCCCATGGGATTCTAGTCAGATTGGTTTGGCATTTGAAAAGTTCAAAGGCCAAATCTACACACGCAACGCAGCAGCTGAACGCAGGAGATCCCACACCCACTCTTCCTTCCCCAGCCGACGGTTAGCACTCTCCACAGATCAGTCCCAGGTCCCTTTAGGGGCAATGGAGAACAGTGTTCCAGAAGAGGACATGCCAAGAATCCTAATACAACTATCTAACCACTATTCAGTACACCTGAAATGAATACAAAGTAATATTGAATGTAAACAGTAATTGAGAAACAAAAGTAAAAAAAAAAACACAATTCTAATTGCATAGTTGTATAAAACTTGGTTTTCAAGCTGACAACACGAGTAAACTGTCATGCCACATTTTGCTTATTGCCAGAATTCAGGTAAGTACAAGAGACTATGAAATGTACAGAGAAGCTTACCAGACCCAGACAAACAATATTTTTGGTAAATCAAATGATCTCCATCTATGTGAGGGAGCTTGCTCTTTAAGGGGAACCTGCCATGTAATGATCAATGGGGAAAAATAATTTCCAAATCCAACTGTGTCACAAGTTCAGATTTTAAAATATGGTGCAAACCTATAATTGACCCTGTCCCACAGGATGTGGCTGCCCGGGCCCTGAGCCAATCTGCAGGGCAGACGTGTGGCGAGTTCTGAGTTCTGCGGAGGCCTGGAAGTGGGTGAGGAGAAGGGGAGAAGAGGAGAAGGGGAGCCGGCCCTGAAAGCAGCTGCTGAGAGGATGGAGGGCAGGACAGCTGCAGCTGGAAACAAATGCGTGAGCTAGGTGAACGTGACTGAAACTGACAACCACATTTCGCCTGAGAACACTGGCTGACATTTCAGTGAAAAAACTTGCTTTAAAAAAACCTTCTGTGCCCTGGATAGAATTTTATTTATAATATGTTTGAAAATGGTCAAATGAAGATTTGAGCTATGGTGGATAGTACTACAGGCAGAGCAATGCCACTTTGTGAATAATAAAATATTTCCATTCGAGCAATTACACACTTTCTAAGTAAGGAGTGTGAGTGTGTGAGTGTGTGAGTGTGTGTTATGCATCAAATACATTTTAATTTTTTTCCATAATTAGAAAAGAACCATTTAAGTGACCCCAATCCTTAAATAATCCTAGGGAACATCAGTTTTCTCCAAGTACCTGTGATCATGCTGGACACAATTAATGGCAAAATGATGAGCTTCAGCATCCTCATTAGGATTTCTCCAGGAAATGCAAAGTAGAACTTCTCCAGATTAGAGAGCTTGCTGTACTCTCGAACCAAGACTCCTACGGCAATCCCTAAGAAAAACAAAAATGGGGAAGAAAAAAAATAACATTGTTGAGTTCTGTATACATTTCTATGGAAAAATACTCCCCCCAAATGTAAATTTAATGGCAAGAGAAAAAGTTTAGATAATCTCCCATGAGTCTGTAAATTTTAAAAACCAAATCATGTTTTAATGAGTAGAAAGTACACAGTATTTGGTAAATCTGTAAAAAATATTCTTCACAAGAAAAATCTGTTTTAATTTTTGTTCTTCCCCTTTAATCATATTTACTATAATGACAAGACCTCAAAAAATACTGTGAGAAATAGTTAATATTGTATTGAATAAGATGATTATTTTCATCTTAATCAACACAATATTAACTATTTTGTTTTTATACACCACCTTTATTCTTTGTCTACCTTAGATATCTTACATATTTTATAGCTTACATATCAGTTTTCATTTTCTATTTTTATCATGACTATCTTTTTATAATTTTTATAAAAATTCCTGTGTTTATGCAACTTTTATAATTTTCATAGCAATATAATGTTGTTCTTCCTCTTTTTTTTTTGGTACATGCCCCTAGCAGGAACCAAACCCAGGACTCTCTGGTCTGCAGGCCGACGCTCCAACCACTGAGCCAAACCGGTCAGGGCTCTTCTTTTTTTTAAATCCTCACCCAAAGATATTTTACCATAGATTTTTAGATAGAGCAGGAGGGAGAGAGGGGGAGAGAGAGAAACATCAGTGTGAGAGACTCATTGATTGGTTGCCTCCTGCACAATCCTGACCAGGGCTGGGAATCAAACCACATCCAGGAACATGCCCTCAGGCCGGAATCGAATCTGTGATTCTTTGGTCCGAGGGCAGATGCTCTAACCGCTGAGCCAAACCGGCCAGGGCAGCAATATAATGTTCTGTTGGTTTGATATATTTACCACATTGTTGAACAATTATGTTCTCTAAATGCATTGCATTCTTTTCAGTTTTCTAGATAATGATGCGTTCAAATTTGTCTGATCAAGAGCCTTTTTACAAAGTTTCTAATCCTGAGAACCTTGGACATTTAGGCTTATAATTATGTGAGCAGGGGAATGTTTGATATCAAGAAATATTATACATTCTCTGGGAGCTTGCTTATTACCAAGATGTCTATATGAAATCTTTCCATTGTGGTGACTTTGATAACTAAACACCACAATTTAAAAATATTTCTTCTTTATTCTCTTCCAAATGGTTCCAATAACATCTAGCTGCCCTACACCATCCCCCCCCCCCCGCCACATCCAAGAAATAAAATGGGCTGGGATGACTAATACATCTTTTTTCCTTCATCAGCTTCTGAGGATGACATGCTAATTGGAAGTAAAATGACTAAGGAGCCGGAAGATTCAAGGAGGATATCACTGGATACGTTAATTCACAAATGTGAAAATTTAGAGTTGTTTGGGCACAGAAAAGAACGCCAGGGCAATGAAAAGAGATGTGAATTGTAATCAAAGCTAGAGTTTTCATTTAAATTCAGATATACTTCCCATACCTTTTAGTAGACCAAATAGATGAACCTCATAAGATATATTCATAGACTGACCTTATTCTTAGCTTAATTTTATATCCCCACATATTTTACTTTTGCTTTGATCTATCTATTTTGTGAACGCATCACTGATTTCTGATCAGTCACTTTAAATTATTTGGGGAACAAACACATACACATAAACATTTCTCAAACTGTAGCTAAGGCAAGAAAAAAAGACTCTGTTATCAATCCCAGTTGGTTCCTATTTCAAAACCTAGTGTTAGAGACTCCTGAGTGGTTAAGATACATACACCAAGGATTCAAAAGACTTTAAGTGAAAGTGAAAAGCTTTTGTGCTCACCTGCTACTTAATAAATTGCCTAGTCCAGCTGTTCTATATGGAGCATACCTATATTATGCCGAAAGGATACTCTGTAACGCTCAGTGTTTAAAAAACAGAAACCAAGCAAACAGACTGTTCTCTCATACTATTTAGGTTGCTTCAAGTAAATTTCTGGCTTGCATGTCAAAGAAAGCTCTGTATGTAAAAATAAAGGAGATGTGTCTGTGTCAAAAAACCAGTCACAAAAGCACTCTGTTGAGCAGCAAAGAACCCAAAGTGCTCAGATCTTAGGAGTTTACATTACTAACAATTAACTATGCTTCTAATCATCTCCACCCCAAATAAATGCAGGGTAGTTAGAGAGAAACTCGCTTGCTTTTTCAGCCTGTTGTAGTCAGGTATGGGTGTTTATGACAAAGATAAAAGAGTCACCACAAGGAGTCATTTGAAAGCAATCAAAGGTGACAAGCACTATAAATAGGTTACTGTATTTAGTAATAAAAGCTTTCTCTCAAGCTTGTGCTTGAGTTATCACAAATTATATTCCAGTATTTCTTTTTCTTTTCTCTGTCTCTCTCTCTCTCTTTTTTTACTTAAAAGAAGAATATAAAACCAACCGAGACCTGGGGAAGCAGTTGGGAGATTCACCCTGAGCCACAACTGCCATTCCTGGGTCCCTCTCGTACAAAAAGTGGCTGGTGAATGACCTCAGCCAGGACTTACACCCAGGAAATGGGTATGCTTTATTTTGGTCTCAAACAAGTTTGGAAAAACTGGATGTGGGATAAGAAAAATCACAGAGATTTTCCAGGTTCGAAGATGAGGTCAGGATTTCACAGGGCACAATCCTTCCTTACCCTTTTCCAGAGACAGAACCTTGGATTAAGGAGCATGGAGAGGTCTCCAAAGCTAAAGGTTGCTGGGAATAAGTGCCTGTCCGGGGGTGCACAGGTCAGACTCAGCTGGTAGGGCCACTTCCAGAGCTAGGCAAGATCAAGAACCTCGAATGGTATTGCTCTATGAAGGCTTTCAGCAAGGCTCACAAGGAAGCCAAAGGTAAAATTGTTACCTAGATCTCTGTAGGCTCCAAAAATACCAGGAACTCTTCCTTGGCTGCCTTCCTCAACACAGGCAAGAAGACCCCAAGCAGGCAGCTTGGGAAGAACATGGTGTTAGAAGGACAGACTCGAGTTCTGGCTCTACCGCTTACAAGGTGTGTAACTGGGCCATAACTTTAACCTTTTCCCATTATCAAGTGTTGGAATTATGGGTAGGAGCAAAGATTTGGATTAGATGCCATCAAAGGGCCCTCATAATGTCCAAGATGCTGTGATCAGCTCTGAGCTTTGGTGTCCTCAACTTTAAAAAGGGGTCATAGGAGCAGCTCATTAGCTCCAAGAGTGCTGGTCGTGCTTTCTTTAGTTTTTACACTAACTGTTAAGTAAACTGGTCAAACAGGAGAGAGAGAAACTAGGGTGGAAAGCATTTAAGACCTCAGCTAGCGATGTCTTCTTTAAATTCATGTTAAAAATTTAAGCTTGAAAGAGATGTCATCTCTTCATGCCCATGTTGTCTCAAACAACGGTTTACCCCCCCGCCCCCCATTTTCCAGGCCCTCCCTATCCAGCCTTCATTCTTAGGTGTGCATGTATTTTGTTAGATTTGTAAAAATTTAATCTGGGGATAACAGTTAAATTGCATTTGATTCATATTTATGAAAATAGCATTGTTCCTATTATGGGATATTTGCAGAAAGGAGATTAAAACCTTTTATGATTTTTAATCAAAGTCCCAGAACAGTTCTCTGATACACAGATTGATTTTGGCTTGATTAAACAAGAATTACTGGCCTAGGAAACAATATTTTTAACTATCACTGAAATAGTTTTCTAGCTATGCTATTATGCTAGACACTATATTAAGCAAATTAACAATATACTTTTCTTGTCCTCAGGAGCTAATCTAAGGTTAACACTGATAACCAGAAAATAAAAAGTACAGAATGAATAGTTATTAACAAATGACTGTGTATACGCTGAATAGATGGGAAGGATGGTTTCTCTATCTTGTCCTTCCAAGGAAATACCCGTCCATTTTCTCATTTTTTCTGCAGAGCTGAGTAGCTCCACCAATACAAGCTCTTACATGGCCTTTGGCTCAAAAACAGATGCCTCTGAGTCAGTACAGCTTTTATTTTTATACCCTTAAAAGTGTATTTACTGCTCAAGCAATGTTATCACAACTCTACTGGAAATAGTAGGTGCAAAAATTCACCTACAACCTTACCAACTCAAATATATGCAAAGGGAAATTGTTTTTATTTTCCCATATACTATTGTAGTTAATCTTAATAAAATGGTTAACAATGATTGAGTACATACTGTATGAAAGAATCTGTGCTAAGTACTTCAAATGAATTTTTTCTTGTATATTATCTCTTGTTATTTTATTTTTATTTTTTTATCCTCACCTGAGGACATTTTTGCATTTATCTTCAGACAGAGTGGGAGGGAGAGAGGGAAGACGAGAGAGAGAGAGAGAGAGAGAGAGAGAGAGAGAGAGAGAGAGAGAGAGAGAAACATTGATGTGAACGAAACACGTCAAGTGGTCGCCACCTACACGACCCCAACTGGGGCCAGGGACAAACCGCAACCAAGGTACATGCCCTTAGTGGGAACCAAACCCGGGACTCTCCGGTCCATGGGCCAACACTATAACTGCTGAGCCAAACAGGTCAGGGCTATCTCTTATTATTTTTAATGGCTATGTAACTGTAGGGTTTGGGGGGGGGGGCAATGTGTTGAGATAAAATTTATGTAATAGAAAATTAACTATTTTTTAAAGTGTACAAATCAATGGTGTTTAGTATATTCACAATGTTGTGCAACCATCACTACTATGTAATTCCAGAACATTTCCATCACCCCAAGAAGAAACTCCCATATCAGTGAGCAGTCGCTTCTCACTCATTCTTCCCCCCGCCGCCCTGGCAACCGCTAATCTGCTTTCTGTCTCTATGGATTTGACTATTCTGGACATTTCATATAAATGAAATCACACAATATGAGGCTATGATATTTAGTCTCGTGTCAACTTGACTAGGTTATAGTAATAATTGTGGTTAACATCTACAATTAGTTGACTTGAAGTAAAGGAGATTACC